GTCACTAACCAGTAGGTGGCAGTAGTGTTCTTTGACAAACATGGATGCCTCCAGTAAAGCACATTCACATGAAAATTACTCTGAATTAAAAACACTGATCAGTTATTGAACAGGATGGAAGAATTTCATATTTAAAGAACTTTCAGAAGTTTGATTTCTGAATATGAGCGGACTTTTCCTTTAACTAAAATTTCTCTTTTAAACAAGTGGACTAATTTATTCCCAGTGAGGAACCCAGTATGTCATTCATTAAACCTGATGTAGATCCATTTTAGCCTGACTGAAGACCAGCTCCTCTGCTTTTATAGCCAGCCAATAGGAAACCAACCAGCTGGTTGCATTAAGGAAGCAATGATTCAACATATTCTACATATTGGCTCCGTTTTATGAAGGAAGTTTAACCACGATAGTCAGAAAGTTGCCTGCAAGAATCTGAAAGCTGTGACAGGGTGAAAAAAAACCTTACATTGGACGTAATAACTGAGTTTGAAACAAACAAAAATCAGCCTGAGCAAAGTTCAGAGGAGATTATAAGTGTGTCGAAGGTTGTAGAGGCTGCCAGCTTACAGCGCTTCTGAAGGCAGAAGCAGCGCAGTTTATACCGCTTCAACTTTTATTCACATAAGCCACATTTCAACCACAAACCTTCATGTGTTTTATGAGGATTTATGAGAAACACCAAAGTGGTGGATAATTGTGAATTGTAAGGAAAGTGGTACAGAAAGGAAACCTGTAACGCTCTGCTGCACTGACAGCATTCGGTCTTCCTGGGTATGACCTCAGCAGGCTGGAAATGTTAACATGAAATTTATTATGTTTGCTAATTGGATTGGCAGGGTTCACACAGCGGTCGGGTCTTTTACTGTTGAATTCTAATGCAGGAATATGTGCTTTGATTTGAACCATGTCACGTATCTCCGGCTGTAAGTTTAGGGTTGTTTAACTATAGGGAAGGTGAACCTCTAGCCTCATGAGACCAGCCTGATCTCGCGAGCTTTCAAGGTTTCACTCGCAGATCAGTCTGGAGACTCTCCGTTAAAGAAAATTTGGAGCCGTTCACCAAACGAACGTCCAATCAGCGTTGGCTTTGAGGCGGGTTGAGGTGTGACGCAACGAGAAGCGCGACAGTTCAGTCTAAAGAACATGGCGGCTTCAGCCGATGAAACTAGCGTTAGCGTGGCTATCGAGCAAGTTTTATCGGAATTACAGAGTATTTCTTCACTGAAAGAAGAGCAAATCACTGCTCTGGAGGCTTTTCTCAGAGGAAAAGATGTTTTTGCTCTTCTCCCGACTGGTTTCGGCAAGAGTTTGATCTATCAATTGGCTCCTCTTCGTCGTCGCTCTGTTAGTACGTCATATGCTTCGTTGATTTGATTGGTTTATTTGGCCCGTCTATCACCAACATAGGCCAATCAGCTAACCAGTATTTTCGCCCCTTCCCAAAATTACTTCAACGGAAGGTTTCCAGATGGATATGCGGAGCAAATCCATCTGGTGGATTCAGGTTAGTGAACCTCCACCTGCCCCATCTTCACTTCAGCTCTGCCAGTCTTTTCTGGTCCTTTCTGAAGAAGCCAGCTTGGTTTCTCCACCAACATGCATTACAGGCTTACAAAAGAAGACAATTGACCCCCATTCTAAAGGGGTGGACCCATTCATCTGTTTCAATTTGCAATTCAATTCCTCACAATTTCAATTTGTTTTCTAAACAAAAACAAGGCTTTGTTGGGTTACTGTATAAAGCCTGGAACTCAACGCTATTTCTGACATTTTAAATTGAAAAACTTCCTGGATGGGAAGAGAAACGTCTCCAAACTTGGAAACAAAGTCCAGTGGATTTTTTTTTTTTTTTTTAGTATTCATTATACCCTTTTCTTTTTTTTAAGTCATAATTTAAGTCATAATCTTAGACATCTTTCAGAGTCTGACTTTGTCTTCACCAGATCTCTTTCTATTTATACCAGCTGATGTGTTTTGTTGTCTGTTGATTGACTGAAAGTGAATCTGAACTTTAACTCCCACTCACCCAGAATGGCGATAGGCAACCAACACGAAGCTTTCGGGCTGCACTTTACCATGTTCATCCCAAGCCTGCGCAGTCTGTGCGACCCTCAGCAGGCCAAGAAATGGCTGTCACTGGCAGAGTCCTACCAGGCCGTGGGCACATATGCCCAGACTGAGCTGGGTCACGGTCAGTCCTGGATGTAGAGACTAAATCACTCACTGTATCAGTTCCTGAGGCCCTAAGAGACACATTCTGTAATGTTAAAAAGCCCAAACCCCAACTTTTATGTCCAACAGTTTGGTACCAAGGAGAGAAAAAGGAAGATTCTTGTGTGTGTTTGACAGATGGGTATCATGTAGTGGAGTCGGGCCTCCTTTCTGCTAATAGGAGAGCTCATATTAGGAATGATTTTTCTAACAAAATGTCCTAAAAAGCTCCTGTAGCTGCTCTAGAACTAACATTGTTCTACTGTGGGATTAACACCTTCTGTTAAACTAACCTGTTTCCTGCTTGTTTCCATGCTATAATAATCCACCAATGATGTTCATTTTGATCAAATGTGTCATAATTGATTACTATCTTTGACTAATAACCAGGAGTTCTGTCTTCTGATTGGCTGCTGAGATTTTAGTCTAGTGGTAATTGTGGCATTAGACGGTGAACGAGCGGCGCTGTGTGATCAGGGCGGCGGCCATGTCTACTTTAGTGGACCGAATCAAAAAGAGAAGCAGCCGCTGCGTTTGAGCCAATGGTCAGATGTCGGTTTGGTTTAGAGCATCACTAGAGACCAAAACCATAAATCAAAAGCAGTTTGTGATTCCATAAATACTGATATGAGATTTTCATTGGAAATGAGGGAATGAGATTGGATTGAATGAAAAACATAATTATGCTGGAATCAAATATGCATGTTTTTTTTGGGGTTTTTTTTGCTGACCAGCTGTTTTGTCTTTGTTGCTTTTCTCTTTGCTGTTTTCTCTCTCCCCTTCTCTGCTTCCCTCTGAACCATGGATGAAAACTATCTGAATCTTCCTCTGTAATTCACCTGCCTTAACTTTCTATCTGATGGCTTCCATCCATCGTTAATATCTCCCTCCACACCTTTTCCATAAACCCCCCTGCTTTTCTTCCCTGTTTGCCCCCCCTCCCCCTCCTTACGGCTTGCGCGGCCCAGTTGTGTGCACCCCGGCAGGCCATCGCCCTTGGATCTTCACTTGGCGATGTTCCTGCCCACCCTGCTCAACCAGGCCACTCCGGCTCAAATGGACCGTTTCTTCATGCCCGCCTGGAACCTAGAGATCATCGGCACCTACGCTCAGACCGAGATCGGCCACGGTAAAATAAAACGGACCCGTCCAAACCTTCAGTTTGTCACACAGCAGTGTTTTGTCTTGTAATTTTTATTAAATTCAGGTTATTTCTATAGCGCCAGTTCACAACACATGTCATCTCAAGGCACTTTACAGTCCACCAAATCATCCAGTCAGATTGATTCAAAGTTTTCTAGCTAAGGAAAGCCAGGCAATCCCTCACACTAACCATACTTGTAGCGACAGTGGAGAGGAAAAACTCCCTTTGAACAGGAAGAAACCTCCAGCAGAACCAGGCTCAGTTCTGCTTTTACCTCATAGATGAGTCACTGAAGTTGCATCGCAGTCCAGAAGCAGCTGAAAGTGACTTTTAAGTTTTATCTGTGAGGTAATTTTGTTTGTTTTTTCTTCAGGGATACGCAGGTAAATATCTGATTGTTAAAGTGTCTCATAAAGACGTAATATCTTCTCCACTCCACATGAGAAGCACGGTTAAAGTTTCTAAAGCAGATGAACTTCTGTCCACAGCGACTAAAACCTTAAGCTTAAAATTCCCGGCTCCTCCTGTAGATTAACCTCCAGCTGTTAGCATGACCCCTTCCCTTTCCTCTCTATCACCTCACGCTTTGTTAAAGCATTGTTTGGGGCCTGTGTTTGTGTCTCACTTTCTCATAATCTCAATATATTTCAGCACCATGCTGAGATCTGTCAAACACTACAAGATGCTTTACTCCTTTGTGTCATAGCTGCATACTGAATTGGCTTTTCTTTGCATTGAAATTCAAACCCATGTGGCCTAAACAGGTTGTTATACAGTCATACTTATTAATCCATAACTAAATATCCTCATTTTTTTAAACTTGTGTCCTGTTGGGCTTTGATTTTTAAAATGTTTCTGGACGCAGGGACACATCTCAGGGGGCTGGAGACCACAGCGACGTACGATCCAGCCACACAGGAGTTTGTCCTGAACAGTCCGACCGTCAGCTCCATCAAATGGTGGCCCGGAGGACGTAAGCGGCGTCACAGTCCTGTGATAGACGTGAGGAGTTTCTGCACCGATGGAGCCAAACTGATCCTCTCTCCCTTCTGTTCCAGTTGGGAAGACCTCCAACCATGCCATCGTCTTAGCCCAGCTCTACAGTCTGGGAAACTGCCACGGCCTGCATGCTTTCATCGTTCCCATCCGCGACATGACCACCCATGAGCCTCTGCCAGGTAATCCCAGTCTGTTAGAAAGGGTTTAGTGTGGTATTTGTAACCAAACCATCTGTCATCTGTTTGAGTTTCTCTCTTCTCTGCTTTTCTCCCTCAGGTATTGTTGTTGGTGATATTGGCCCCAAGTTTGGCTTTAATGAGGTTGATAATGGATTCCTGAAATTGGAGAACGTGAGAATTCCTCGAGAGAATATGTTGATGAAGTATTCCAAGGTAATCAGACTACCTCAGAACCGGAGCGTCTCTCTGCAAAGATATGAACATTATTTTATTGCACTCTTACCAACATTGAATAACTGCTGAGGTATTAATGTGATGTTTATTAGACTGTGATTTTGAAGATCTAGATTCTACATCTAGGGGTCTGCAACCTGCGGCTCTAGAGTCTCATGTGGCTCTTTGGAGCCTCTGCAATGGCTCTTAAAGGAGAGGTCCGGTCAGCGAGGAATAATCAATGGATCGTTATTTATACCTAAAAATTTGTGCAAAATGATTTAATGAATTTTGCATTAATCTGTCAAAAATAAAAACCTTTTTCATCGCGATCACTGAGTCTGGAAACGGCCGTTTTTGCCCCAATATAGTAAAGGGCTGGTTACCCTCCCGCAGCAGTGTGTCGCAGGTATGTTGCAGATATTTTTGATTTATATTCAATATTGAAGCTTGGTCTGCGCTATGTGATTCCACGCCACAACGAAAGAGGGACAATCAGGAACTAGCTGTGGGTCTGGATACGGCCGAGGCGGTGAGGAAGTTGGGGCAATTTGTGTAACAATGAAGGGCCAAAAAGAGCCGGGATCCAGGTGGGAAAAGGGTCCCAGCGTTCTCGTGCACCTCAGTGTTCTAGCTGGTCCATTTTCATGAGTCGTTTTCCACAATGGCGGTCATACAAAAAAAAAACAAGACAGTAAGTTAACAAACGGGAAATAAGCATAGAGTATAGAGGATGTAGATTTGACCGATCAGAGGCCTCCTGTCTGCAGCACTGTCTGCGCTCACCTACAATTTTGGAGAGGTGCAGTAGAGTGTCTTGGGAAGGGGCGGGGCATATCTGCGTTAACTGCGACACTCATGCAGGCGACCTGGTTTCTGAGTATAAATCAGCCTTAACCCCTCCCTCCTGCCATCTTCCAGCAGTGACGTCACGGTGCGGTAAGCCTAGCGCCATTCTCCCCGCTTTCCAAGCTAAATCAATGGGAACTACTAGACACATCTGCAATCAACAACAATTATTGAAGATTTCCAGAGGACTTCACCATTGAAATTCACCAGAGCTATAGTGAAACTGACTTCTCCTTTTATAAAAAA